CCCTCTTTCTTTCAGGACAGCACCTCGAGAGACCTTGGCTCCTCCCCACCTGAGGAAACACCTCACCTCCACCCAAAACAAAAGGCCTGCCTCTCACCTCACAACTTCAGTTTTTGGTGTTTCCCCTCCGGTGGGGAGACACGCTGTGGAGGCCAGTCCAGGTGAGGTCAGAGGACCGAAGTAGCCTGGTAGGGGAGAGGAGAATGGCAGTGGAGTGTGTGTGGGCCAGAGAGGCTGGTAGCTACCCCTATGGCTTTTGTTGACAGGTGGGCCCCCTCCATAGGAGACATGGGGGGCTTTGCTTACCTGTCATGCTTCGTGCCAACCCCCCCACCGAGGGAAGGCTGAGGAGTCTGGGCGCCCTCGCATCCTGTGTCCAGAGGGACCAGGGCAGGAGTCCCGCTGTGCCGGCATTTGGGCCGGGCCGGAAGACCAGCAATGTCACTTCTGGCGGAAGAGGCAGGACTTCTCCAGGGACGCGGCCTAGGAAATGAGGGGGAGCGCCTAAGGCGGTGTGTGAGTGCTACATCCTGCAGAGGCAGGCAACACTTGGGTGACCACCTTCCTGAAGATGTCCAGAGCAAAGGCCCCTGGACCAGGCAAGGCCAGCACCCGCCAGCTACAGTTAGGCAGCTCAGAGGAGCCCTTTTTGGCCCAGGTCTTGAGACTGTGCTTGATTGCACGGCAGACAGGAAAAAAGCATTTCCTCTTAAAAGAAAGCTGCAGGGGTGAAACATTTTCATCCCCAAAAGAAGATTCAGGCCCTTTGGCCAGAAACACAGAAAAAAATCTGGGGGCAGAGAGGAAGAGGCAAAGGAGGAGTGGTTTTCCGTCGTCCTGAGCAGCCCCAGAAGTCGCAAAGACTTTGTTCCCCTAGTGGGAGGAAGGTTGGGGGTCTTCCTCCCACAGTGGGAAGCAGAGATCTCCAGCCAGTTTGTCCTGGATATAGTGAGGAGGGGGTACCACCTGGAGTTTTCAAGGCCACCGCCACAGAGATTGTTGGTGACGAACCTGCCAAGGTGCACACAAAAAGCGGCGGCATTACTCGCTTCTCTACAGAAGTTAGAGGAGCAGAACTTCGTGGTCAGAGTCCCCACCATGGAGATCGGCAAGGGATTCTACTCGCACGTCTTCGTCATCCGAAAGTCCTTGGGATCTTACAGACTGATTCTAAACCTGAAGCCCTTGAACGAGGCCATCGGGTACAAGAGGTTTCGGATGGACTCTATCTTTACGGTCAGATGCTTATTTGCATGTTCACATTGCGGAGACCTGTCAATTTCTCAGATTAGCAGTTCAGGGTCTGGGGGGAAGATACGTCACCTGCAATTCCGGGCCTTGCCCTTTGGATTTTCCTCCTCTCCCAGGATCTGCACAAAGATAATGTCCGAGGCCCTAGTGCCACTTTGGCTGAAGGGGGTCTCACTAGTGGCCTACCTGGATGACCTCCTGTTGTTCGGAAGAACAGTTGTCGCAGGACATAGCCATGGTGAGGAGGCATTTGGAGGATCTGGGCTGGCTGATAAAGCTGGCCAAGTCCAGTTTAGTCCCAGCCAAGAGGATGGTATACCTGGGCTACAAACTAGATTCCACCCGTCAAAGGACCTTTCTGACTCTGGAGAAGATCCTGAAGTTAGGGGAATCAGACAGTTGCTAGGAAGCCAGGCTGTATCTTTAAGGGAAGCCATGTCAATTCTGGGCCTTCTAACCTCGTCCATTCCGGTGGTACAATGCGCAGGGTTACACCTACGGCCCCTCCAGCTGTTCATTTTGAGCATCTGGGATCGTCGACAGTCATCCTTAGTCCCTGACTCTCAAGACTGTCTTCCTTGTAGCAATTAAAACTGCAAGAAGAGTGAGTGAATTAGAAGCTCTGTCAACTAGAGCCACTTTTTGTCAGGTATTTACAGATAGGGTTACATTTAGGATGGACCTGGCCTTTGTACCCAAGGTGGCCTCGCGTTTTCATAGAGGTCAGGATATTATTTTACCTTTTTGTTCTAACCCCTCGTGTGAACAGGAAGAGAGGTTTCACACGCTGGACGTGAGAAGATGTGTTCTCCTTTATTTAGAAAAAAAACTAAAGAGGTCCGGAAGTCAGATTATTTTTTTTTCTTTTTCAGGCATAATGAAGGGCTATAAGGCCTCCAGAAGCACTTTAGCTAGGTGGCTAAGACTAGCAAACGGACAGGTGTATCTGGCCGAGGGCCTGGAGGTCCCGGAGTGCATCATGGCACATTCTACCCGTGCCATGGCGGCCACACATGCTGAGCAGGGGGTGCTTCCCTGGGGCAGATCTGTAGAGCTGCGACTTGGTCCAGTTATGGCACCTTTGTCAAACATTAGACTTGACCTGGTCTCAGTGCAGGAGCAGGCCTTCGGACGCACGGTTCTATAAGCCGTGGTCCCGCCCTAGTTATGAGTGCTTGCTTATCCTCGCGAGGTGTTATCCTGAAAGACGCAGAGGGGAAAAAGCAAAGTTACTCTTACGGTAATGCCTTTTCCAGGAGCCTTTCAGGACTGCACTGGTTACCCACCCTATGTTGCAGGGGTTCATGAGATACTGTTGTGCTTTTTGTGTCTTATGTTGTCTCCCCAGGTGACTGGAGGTTGTTGATCGTGAACGGAGGTTGTGAGAGGAGAGCCAGGCCTTTTGTTTTGGATGGAAGTTTTTCCTCAGGTAGGGAGGAGCTGAGGTCTCTCGAGGTGCTGGCCTGAAAGACTCCTGGAAAAGGCATTACCGTAAGTCTAACTTTGCTTTTTTCCACATGCATTGCAAGTAATCCAAACTCTAGCATGAGAAATTAATGGGATTAATTGGAGGTGGTTTATAAATCTAATGTCAAAGTAGAACTAAACCGAAGAGCAAAAATGTAGTATATTGCAGCTCATCAGTCCTTAGATGTGGTGGCTTCATTCGTTTTTCTCTTTCAGTCTGAGAACATTTTCAGTAAGTACAAATAATGCCTGTTCATCATCTTGCTAGAAATGCAGTATTGTTACTTGAAACTTTGAGCTGGAGGCATAATCCAATTATTGTAAACTACTAATCTCCCCTCCCCCATGCAATGGAGATGAACAAAGGCAGATGTGTTTGAAGTCCATCATGGGTGGTAACTAGGAATGAGCTAAAGGTTCAGTCTGAACACCGATCCTTTGCTTGTTCAGGAGCTTTGCTTCTTCGGTTGTTCCAAGCACCAGACTTTTTTTTCATTTGATGGGCGCTACAGTATATGTGACCGCTAATATGACAGCTTCTTCTGTTAATAGTTCTTAGGGAAGCAGTGCGTGTTAGCACCTGATGCATTCTTGTCAGTCAACCAATAACCTCATAAGATCCCATTCAATCTCCGGCCACTGCAAATGTATCAGAGTAGATTACATGCGGGGCATAATACAAATGTTCGATTTCTGAATTTGGGGCTTACCTGGTTAGGCAGGTCCAAATTTACATAATTTGATCCTGTAGACAAGCTTTTCTAAACTAGTTACTCCAGAGGTTTCTTGGGGTTCCTTGAAAAATAGGCAACTTCTACTTCTCAGATGAGAAATCACTGGCAACAATGATCTTTTTAGCTATCTGTAAGTGGGGATCCTTCCCAGTGACCACAAATGTAACAAGTATTTTTTCTGAGTAACCATCACACTAATGTACTGTGAGCTGTAGATGTAATTAACAGGAGTTCCCTGAGCCCAGAAAGTTATTCTAAAGGTTCCTTAGGGTTCCTTTCAGTTAAAGTCAAACTGCTGTAGACAACTTTTTGCGCCCCAGTTGTGTGAATAAGTTTAAGATGGCTATTCCTACTGATAGAAAATAAATGTGAGCCCAATATACTCAAGGCAAGTATTGTGTGAAGGCGGACATGTTTGTGGAGTGACAAATCTACTAGTAAGCAAACTACTGTATTTTTGTAAATTTAACTACATTTCTTTCCTCAGTTTGTGTTAATTTAGTGGAGTTGCAGCCAATTTTGCCATCTAGAAGTCAGATAGGTGGACAAGGAAGTACACTATTGACCACTGTAAAATCTGGTTTCCCTCAAAAAAGAACACAGCTAACACCAGTAAAGGTAACTCATTTCATTTAAATTATGACAAAGTGAAACTAGCTTGAAATTGTCTCTAATCAAAACTTTTTGGCTGATGTAGAGAATTGACTGTGTCCTGTTGGGTTATTTCCTGCTTCCTGTCCTGAAGAGATAATGGGAGGAAATACCCTCTTAGACAATTGTCAATGAGTCGGGTGTACCGGCTGAGGTGTATTAGAAGATAATTCCTCCTGTTCTAAAAGCAACTGTAAAAGTTTGGTGAAATTTATTACCAGGACAAAAAGTATTACCCTGCCTAGTGGGGTCACAAACGTTAATAACAAACTGACAGAGGTTCTAACTATTCCCTTCTCTACCAACACTGGAACAAAGTTTTATCCAGATGCTATTTGTGAAAATTTAGAACCTCTGTCAGGCTGCTATTGCCATGTCCCCAATGGGGCAATTCTTTCTTCTTTTATGACTAAAATTGAGGAGAAATGGCCCTTAAAGTGGACATTGCAGTACAAAACAAATTAGATCATATACCCTTACCCCCGGTCTTCTGCACTGCTGGACATAATGCTACTATTATTCCAGGAAAATTACTGGGAACAAGTACCCTAAATCTTGTGAGATTTGGACTTGCCAGTGCTAGAGCATCTTCTCACAAGGTCTGAGCTGCTCCATATCTTCCAAATCCGCATGAGGCCTCACTTAAATGCCACAGACTAACAAATGGTGTGTGATATATAATATTTTCAGTAATTGCTTCTGCATTTTCCCTGATAAGGTTCCTTTTTGTTTTTTAGCCTCCCTGGATCTGTACTTAATTAGCTATCTCTGTGTGCAAACAATTTTTTGTTTTTACTCTCTTTAAATAATTTGTGCATATTTATTATAAGAAAGCTAATGTAAACTACTTTCATCTTGGTTATAATGGTGTTTTGTGTTTGTGCTTAGATACCATGCCGCAGAAAGGTATCCATTATTCCTGAAAGCAATTCTAAAGTGCCTCATGAAACAAGGCAGCGATATGTTAACTCTTTTGTGGAAGAGTTTTTGAAAGAGTCTGCATCTGTCCAGGAAGCCTTTGATAAGGTATTCCGCTTTTATACTTGAGAGCCTAAAAAGTACTTTTCTTTCCTGAAGAAGTGGATGTATGGATTAAAGCTATTTTCTTTTCTGTTAAATGTATGCCCCTGGAAAATATCCTAGGCTATGTAAATTGTGTCCACTCAATGGTTAGCCCTTTTAGTGGAGAGTGAAATGTAGTGCATTCAGCAATCATATACATGGTGAATGTATATGATGCAGCATATTTTGACCCAAAGGCATATAATAAAGACCCACCTCATGAGTGCAATGTGGCAAGGATAACCTATCAGCCCAGGCCAAGAGATCATAACCCTGTGTCATTGGTGGCAGAAATGAATAAGGGGGAGACAGCCGCCCCACCACGCCACTCATGGAGTCCTAACATCAATAGTGTGCAGGCGTGGTTGGATGTCTCCACATAGGGTATTGCATGCATGTGCAGTAATGGTGGGGCGATGGGCCATAATCTCCGCGAAAGCACAAACCAGCCCAGGGGTAGACAGACTGCCAACACAGCTGTGCCTATCAGAATGCAATCAGCCCCTTAAGGCTGGAAGAGCAAAGGCAGAGCTCATACTGCTATGCCCCACCAGAAGCTAACCTGTAAAGATCAAATTACTCAGTACACTAGCACGATCTTGTAGACAAAATTCATTATGCTAGAATCACTAATAAATAAATGTACAGGGAAACAAATCATGAGTACCCATATAATGTAGAGCCAAAAAATACTAAATGAATACAATTGCGCTAAATGGGTCGATAAACAAAAACCAAAAAACTAAACATATCTTAGATAATGTAAAAATCAGATTGACTTACACATCCACATCATGTCCACCAGACAGAACAATACGCAAGAACCCACCCCATACACCTTCAAAAATGACCTTGCGCATATATACCATGCTTATGGGGCAAACCGCCAACCGTTTCACAGATATGTCTACCCAAATATAATTGTTCATGAAACTAAAAAATGAAGAAAATTTTATAGAAAAGGTTTAAAACTAATGTTTACATTGACATCTGGAGGTTTCGTTGCCTCCAGCTAGAAGATCCACTTGGTCTCCAGCTGAAGGAGATGTTTTTTTAGTGTCACCACCTCCAATTGACAACTCAACATATTCAAGAGCATAAATCGAATGGAATCCACATTAAAATTGACATAATCCAACATGGCAGCTTATGGTGGACACCATTTTGTATTAAATATACATGATCTGATTCGTTTCCACATTTTTGCCCATATAGAATGCTTTACATATGCATATCCATATAATAGACTACACCCACAGTTTGGCAATTGCTCACTGTGGGGTCCAGGACTGCTCATTTGGTAAGGCAACACTATATTTCCTGTTGAGATCCAACTGCAAAAATTACACCTGCCCACATCTACACCTCCTACATCGCTGAATACTCAAATGACAATGTGTGCTGTGGTCCCATAGCGATCTTGCTTGACTAAGTGATTTGTGATCTAGAACCCACATGTTTGGCAACTATTAGATCCTCTCTCTCAGTAAATGGCAATGTTGTAATACCTGTGGTACCTCAGAATGCTGTTGGGAAAACTGTAATGAGATGAGTATTACCTTTCTTTTTAGATTTTTTTTTTTTTTTTTTTTTTTTTTTTTTTGTGTAAAAAGAGCTTTCAATAAAACCAATCTTGTGACTTTTTAAAACACTTCCTGCTGTAGCCTCTCTGCAGTAAACATATATTTGAAGCTGATGAGCCTGAACTATAAAATCTTCACAACTACAATTCTGTTTGAGTCTTCGATATTGGCCATGTGTTATACTCTTTTAATGGCCTTGGTGAGCACTCTTAGCGTGAAGGATTGTTTGGTACAGAGTGTTCACGGTATAAATCCAAAACCATTTGGCCATCAAGGAGTGCAGACACCACATTAAGCATTGGCAAGCTGCAATAATAGTTTTGGGTTAAATACTGTTTTAGGGAATATGTAAATGCTTCTTCTAATCTACCGTAAATATACTGTGTATACTTTTTTTGGATGATCAAAGATTAAGCCATCCTTTATTGAACACCAGCATGAAAATTTGGAACTTAAGTAGGAACCGGCCAGAAGTGATGCAGACTTTTACTGTGGCCTCACTGGAGGCGTTTTCATGGCGATGTCATGATATAGAAACTGGGAGGAAAGGGTTGTCAGAAAATTCCAGATATGCTTCAGGGGAAAGCAGTTGCCAGATCATGTGCTGATGATGGTTTTCTATTCTGTTTTCTAGGCTTTATCAGAAGAAAAGGCAATTTATGAGCGGTGTGGGAGTAAGAACATGTATCTTAGCATAGCCGTTAATAGCCTTAAAAAGCTCAGAGATCAACACAATAATGGTAGGAGAATCTTTCATTGTGCCTTTTTCTCAACCCTCTTGTTTTGGTACTGCAGCACCACTATTTCTCAGGAACATGGTGAAATAAGGCTGCAGATGATAAAAATGTGAAAAAAGTTTAATCTTTTTGCATGCTAACCTGATGAAGAATATAATTGTTCCTTATTTTTTTTTTTCTCTGTGTATTTTCAGAAGCTTAATCTGTGCATGGTAACTTTTTTTTTTTTTTTTTTTTTTTTTTTTTCTTCTTTTCTGAGTCATATTTTAACCACAGTGCTCAGCACTGAAAATTAACACTGATTTTCAATTAAGATGGCAGTACACACTCTTGTCTGCTCTTATCTTAGGCTATTTCCAATTGCTGTTGGCTAATTCATGGAAGTTGTGCTTCTTCTGCAGGACTGCATTAAAAACGATCATGAGAAAATAAGAGTAACATGAAAACTGCCATTGCAATGACTGATTGTCAAAGAACTGTGTATGTAAGGACTTCAAACATCCCTGATATGCATAATTGCTCCAGATCAGGGACGCCCTTCACTGCACCATTCCAAGTCTTGTGGCAACAGGAGGGACCAGTAAACAGACTTCTGATTGCTATAGCAATCATCTTGCAAGCTGTTGGCTCAGCACTGTCATTCCCTGGTCACTGTGGGATACTGTCTGATGAACACAATGGTTGTGGGTCGAACAGTGATAGTGATTGCAAAGGGATTCTTTTAATAACAAAAGTTAGACTTGCCTGCTCTGTGCAATTGTTTTGCACAGAGCAGCCCTTATCCTCTTTTTCTTGGGTCCCCCACTGGCTTTTCTGGCTTCCCTTCCCCTCCATCCCCCTTCTGAGTGCACTAATGGCAAGTTTCTTGGGGGGGGCTGCACACGGTGGTTTATTTTTTTTACCATAATGCAGAGAATGCATTAAGGTAAAAAAAAAACCTTCTACCTTTTAGAACCTCCTTTAAAGAGAACCTGTCACTTCTTGTGCTATCACTTAAGGGGGTTGTTGGTCCCACACAAGATGCGAAAAAACAGCCTATTGCTTTGTTGGGTGCTGACGCCTGCCAATATTGACTTAATTAATTAAATGGGGCCACTTTGCAGGTGCCCAGCAAACTGCTTGCAGAGAAATGCTTCTGCAGGGTCCAATTGGTTAAAGCAGTTGCTAAAAAAAAAAAAAAAAAAAAAGCAACACTACGCTGCCTACTTTAATGCCTTGTTTACTGTACTGCACAAGATTGCAGCGCACTTGCAGAGCGGCCTCATTCAGTTTGAATGGATCATGCTCGGCAGGCGCTACACACCCAGGTGTACCACACCTGCCGGATATAATAGAAGTCTATGGCTAAGTGCAGCAAACCCACAGGAAAGCTGCAGGTGCACTGCACCTACAGTGTGGGTAAACCTCAGCGCATCAGTATGAAAGCAGCCCTATACTATTATGCCCAGTTTATTGCTTCACAATGTGAGCTCTTCTTTCCTGCTGCTGGCACCACTTTGGAGGCCAGTAGCCAGTATAAGAGGTGGAGTGCAGTTGGTATCAGTCCACATGGGACAGGAGCCAGCAGTACAAAGGAGGCATTTATTTTATGTGGATCATGCTGCTCCCTTCTACAGCTCCAACATTACAAGTAGTTCCTTTGCATTGCACTCTCTTTGATGCTCTGGGATGGTGGGTCAACAAAGCCAGACTATGATCTACCAATCATCTGGCCATGATCTACTGGTAGATTGCGATCTACAGGTTGCTGGCCCCTGCTCTCTAACTTCCACGCAGACTTGTGTTTTGGGTTATGTTTACCCAATAAATGTAGCAGAAAGTATCGTGGCCAAAATCTTATGAAGAAAGGAAGTTTATTTGCAACATTTTATAACTAATGAAAAGTTGTTAAAAAATTTTTGTAAATTCAAAATTTTTATTTTTTCTTTTATATAGCAAATAAAAACCCAGTGGTGATTAAATACCAAAAAAAATTATCAAAATTTAATTTGGGTGCGGTGTTGCATGACTAATTGTGACAGCCCTAAAAGCTGAAAATTGGCCTGGAGTGGAAGGTGGTGAAAGTGTCCAGACATGAAGTGGTTAAAGCATTGCGCTGGGACAATTTTGGGTACCATAGTTTTTCACAGGCCCACACAATTTTAAGACTTGACATATTTGCTATCTGTATGTATGCGGGTTAGTGAGCGCACACTGAAAAGCGGCTATTGCACTTAAAGGAACCACAAAACCTCTCTAATAGAATCTATCAATGGGCAGTGCAGCGCTACAAAAAGTCATGAACAAACAACCTTCAGCAAAGAGATAAATGAATGAATAAATGACATATGTCCAGTACAATATCATGTGAAACATATAGTCCAATAATATTAAAAATAATCGACTTCAGTCACTGTGGGTATGGTCCGGTATCCTGATGTAGAGGTATAGATTGCCTACTCACCAGAAGCGCAATCTCACTGCACATATCAAGATCACATGCATCCAGGAAACCTGGATAGGAGCTGCCTGGTATTGTAATCCTCTGGTGGTCACTCAATGGTGTGTGTGAGAAGGATACCGGTCTGGTCACAACATACTTACTCCTCAGATCTGCACCGATGCCTGAAATACTGGGGCTGAGGTGTGGAGGCTCAGTGCCAGGTATAGAGAATAAAGGTGCTCATAGTGTAGTAATGTTGATAAAAAGGTTTATTAAATCGAGTTTAAGCAGAAATGTACACACATGACAGTGACTGCGGGTAGTGGTGGGAAGCTGCTTGTAAACAGTAATAAAAGCACTGACCAGTAGAACTCATATGGTGGCTGCTGGACCTCCTGATCCGGCAGCGTGACGTCAAGGCGTGCAAGGGCTCCTCCTAGACGTGTTTCGTGTAAACACACATCTACTGTAGGGGTGATGCCGTGCAGGCTGGACGTCACATTGCGCATATATATATATATATATATATATATATATATATATATATATATATATATATATATATATATATATATGCGCCCAATCGTGCCAGCACCATTTTGCCGAAGTCCGGCGTACTGTGCATGCGCGAGCGCCATTTTTTTTCCGGTGATCTTCCTAGATCTAAAATGGCCACCGTGTGTCCCACTGCACGTGCGCAAGTGTTCTGGCCGCCATTTTGTTGGTTGGAAAGTCCTGTGAAACCGTGCAAAACTGCGCGAGCCGTGCAGCCGCCATTTTATTGAAGATAACAGCCAAGGTGGAGAGGCACAATGCTGTGCCTTGTACTGGGTAGTACAAAGATCATAAATCAAAGATCAAAACCTTATGCTGGACTGGAATAATTAAACACCCACCATGATTACCTTAAGAGCTCAAATGGATAGATGATGGGGTGAGACATGAGATACCCCCAGATGCGTAGGTTAATGCGCATGCGTGGGAAACACTGCCACCATTTTCCTGGTGTTTCCTGTAGGTCTAATCCAGATTTTGGCAATAAACTGTACTTATCATAGTGATTATGAAATGGTGCATTTTTACAAATAAAACAAACCTTTATAAGAATAAACTTTAACAGCTAATTACAATTAAAACTAATAAAGCAGCCACATTATAGTAAAACAAATGTTAAAAATAAAGGAAAATATATTAAACTTACGGGAAATATAAAAATATATGTACACGTCATAGTATATATTCTAATAGATGGTCCTGGAGTTGCAATACCAGGCTTATGATCTGACCGTGTATGGGGTTCAGCTGTTGTCGATGAAGCAGTTTTAGATATACTTGCACATTATGGCCTAACTGGGTCAAGGATTTGATCTCAAAGATCCACTTGGTCTCCAAATGCGAGACCTGTCTGCTTCTATTTGAACCCCGCCAATGATGTTGTGCAACATCGATCCCTGTAAATTTGAGGGAAGAGGGATCCCTATGATAGTCCCTATAATGTTTAGATAGGGAATGCTCTCAGAAGCCTCTTTTGATATTATACACATGATCTCGAAAGCGGTCACGAAGTCTCCTGGTGGTCCGGCCTATATACTGCTTCTGGCACGGACATTCCAGGAGGTATACTGTGTAACGTGTATTACAAGAGATAAAGGAGGTTCTCATAATCCTTGCCTGTTGTGGTAGAGGCAAAGGATACAATTTTCCTCTTTGACATCCTGCTATGTTTGCATAGTTGGCATCTTTTGCAGGGAAAACAACCTTTAAGGCTACCAAGAAAGGTCGGGCGTAAGGGGGGTCCATTATATTCGGAGCGATGGTATTACGTAGAGGTAATGCTCTCTTAAAAATAACTTCTGGATTTTGGGGCAAGGCTTTCGAAAGAATCGGGTCTGCTTTAAGCACCACCTATTTGCTATCTACACTGCTCAAAAAAAATTAACACACTTTTTAATCAGAGTATAGCATCAAGTCAAACACCTGGGATATTGATCTGTTACTCCGTTTGTTAGCTGCTTTGGGGTTTATGAAATTAACAGGTGCACTAGATGGGCAACAATGAGATGACTCCCAAAACAGGAATGGTTTTACAGGTGGAGGTCACTGACATTTTTTCCCTACTCTTTTCTGAATGTTTTTCACTAGTTTTGTGATTTTTGGCTAGGGTCGGTGTCACTACTGGTAGCATGCGGCGATACCTGGACCCTACAGAGGTTGCACAGGCAGTCCAACTCCTCCAGGATGGCAAATCAATATGTGCCATTGCCAGAAGGTTTGCTGTGTCTCCCAGCACAGTCTCAAAAGCATGGAAGAGACAGCCAATTACTCTAGAAGAGCTGGACAGGGCTGTAGAAGGTCTTTAACCCATCATCAGGACTGCTATCTGTTCCTTTGTGCAAGGAGGAACAGGATGAGCACTACCAGAGCCCTACAAAATGACCTCCAGCAGGCCACTGGTGTGAGTGTCTCTGATCAAACAATCAGAAACAGACTTCATGATGGTAGCCTGGGGACCCGACGTCCTCTAGTGGGCTCTGTGCTGACTGCCCGGCACCATAGAGCTTGATTGACACTTGCCATTGAACACCAGAATTGGCAGGTCCTCCACTGGCACCCTGTGCAGGTTCACCCTGAGCACATGTAACAGGCGTGAGATGGTCTGGAGAAGCCATGGAGAATATTATGCTGCCTGTA